TGACAATGGATATGTTACGTTTCGATTCCAATGTTATACAAATACAAAAACAGACTTTATTTACACAAAATTATGTGAAATCAGATTTACATGCTCCGGAGAATATTTTCGATTGTTGCAAATCTGTATAAATATATTTAACAATGAATACAGGGTAAACATCTAAATACGTGGTAAACCTGGAATGTCTGTAGAGTAATCTTCGAGCGTGCTAAACAGTGGTTGTCATTCATTAACTTTTCAAATACAAATCATTTTGTATAGCAGCGACTACTTAGCAACAGATTGGTAATCTTCAATTTTTGTTATGCGAATAGTCGAATGTTTAGATTTTGTCCACAAGCAGTCGCACCGTGTGGAGCAGCGAATGCTATCCACGCATTTTCGCGGGCCCAATGAATCATAAACCGAAACCGACGGCGGCTGGGTGGCGAAACGATTTTCCAAAAATGGAAACGGTCAGATGTGCCTGCATAACTGCGTTCTGATCAACGGGGCGACGCACAGTGGTTGAAATTCTTCATCTAGGATTACACGGGCTGTCTCGCGTTTCTTTTACGCCGAACTCTAACAGTATACAGGGTGGTCCGTGTAATCGTATCAAGTCACAGGCTCTTCTACTGGTAGAGTAAGTAGAAAAAAATGTTGGATTTCTCAGGGAGTTCAAAGAAAAATGCAGAATTAATTGAATAGAAATATGTAATTTTTTTTTATATTGATCGTCCTTTCTCATTTGTTCGCATAAATAAGTATTTAGTTAAAGTATTTAGTTAACAAAATTATCAGTTCATAAGATATTTGGAATAAATATCTTCGTTAAGAAATATGCACAAATTTGTCTCTATTATACTTTACACATTTTATGCGTTTCCCAATTGTTTTCACCACTCGACGAAGATCACATCGTTGAGTAAAGGAGATTTATTTGTACGTTTACATGCTGCAATGAATGTATAGGACAAATACAAATATACCTTCTCTCTTAAAATAAATCTATAAAAGAATGTCAAAGTAATTATTTTTCGAGAATACTGCAGTCACTGCAAAAATGTTTCATGTTCTTGCAAAACTTTCAAATTCAATTCACTTCTTAAGAGAATATTTTCAAAAAAAGATCCGCGGTACAAATTCCGAAAACTGCCAATTTTATTTGTTCGAAGTACAGGCTTCGAAAAGATATGAACCAATTACATGAAAATTTCAAAGACAACATCAGAAATTAACAATGAATCTTGTTGCGTAATTTGAGTTTTTTTTTAAGTTTACAATTTTTCTTGGCCTATGTATATTCATTGTAATAATTGAATATGACGTGAATGATAAACGTATGTATATGTATACGCCCGTCTGTAATACCTACCAAGTGAAATTTATGTTGTAGGTTTTTCGTATTTTTCACATGCTTGCATCTCACATGAACGCATTTACAAACTATTATAAATGAGCCAGTATATACATTGCGTTATTTTTATCCTCTGCTTCCAATTTTGAGAATTCCCTTTTACGTCTTCCAAACGCACCGCAGTTCTTCAAATTGTTTTCCAATTTATAACACAGCAGGTATATTTTTGTAGAGCCGATATTTTTGTTACATGATAAATAAACACTGAAGATACATATCTTATGTGTTATGGCAGAATTTGATATGATCCTCCCGAAATATATAAAAATCAAAGGTATCAATCGAAAAGCGATGTGAGAAATGTAACATGTAAATAAATATTCAACTGTCCACTTCAACAAAGACATTTATTTCAAATATCTGGAGCAATAATCATTTGTCGACCACTTTACCTAAATATTTTTCAACTAGAATGATCTGATAAATTCTACCAATTGAGAGTTGAATCTATTTACAATCATCTATAATTATTTTGATGCCTCCATCTGCTCCATATTATTAAAAATATGTGATATTTATAAAAAGAACAGTTTTCTTTATAATATAGAGTTAATGATTTAATATGATAAAGTAAAATTTACGATTGATCATCAAGAATTCCTAACATAAAATGCTGAATAAGCAAAGTAAACAATTCTTCAACAGAAAGGCAAATTCTTGTAAGCAGTGGTATATATGCTGATATTTATGAATCTATTTTATAGTTTCCACATGAGTTGCAGATACTGCACAAGGTTCTACTAGAAATACCGTATTTCAGTTTTATGAATACATTAATTACGATTGAACGATTAAAATCACTACACAGATTATAAACCATATTGCTAAAATACACAATAATGAATAATAGTGCAAGAGGAATGTACGGTATTGGCAATAACTATTATATTACTTTCAAGTATACGTAATATGCCTAAATTTAATAAAAACCTGATTAACCAAATAATTACAATTTATATCCTAATAAGTATTATCCTATGTAATTAATCTGAATTCATTTCTTTTAATTATTTTCAAATATTAACACACGAACTACCGAGCGTTTAATGTGATTAAATATGTAATCCATATCAAATTTATAACGATAAATTTCTTCACACATTCGTTATAGTATTTAAATGAAACTATCTATTTTTAAAATTATTTTGAATATTGAATATTTAAGAAAACTATATTTATGGAATATCTAAGGAACGAAGTAAAAACCGGGATTGTAAATAAAGTTAGAGATATTCAAACGATTCAAACTTTCGACAATACTATATAGTTTTTTAAAACTTTTAAAATTCAAATTTAAATTTAAATTTAAATTTAAGATAACAGTCCCTCGTAGAAATATTTAACCAAATATTAAAAACAGTATTTGGTACAATTCGAATTGTTCGAATAAATTCAACATTTATGTTTTTCCGATGGTAATAAAGATCTTTACGAGTCACCAAATAACCAACCAACTATACAATAAATTTTCCTTTACACTTTCCATGTAACCGACTTATTAACAAATAAACCATTAGTACTGGCTAATCATTTTTAAAAATTTCATTAGTCCTGAATAATCGTGCATAAATACCTGTTCTTATACGGAACTAGTAACTTTCTTTTGATAACTATAGGCAGGCAGAACTTTTATTTTCGATTTCCTAGATCGACCATTTCGGCCGTTATGCCGCGCCGGGATTTGCCTCGGCTGACCATAATTTACATCAAATCGAAGTATGCGTTACGCCACGGGCCACAAATGCCTGACTTTATTCTACGTCTATGTGACTATAAGAATAAATCTCGCGCGTCCCGTCCTGTTCCTTTCCCCTTTCCTTTTTAACATCCGTTTCGCGATTCTCTCCTGAAGGAGAATATGCCGGGCGATGTTATAAGACTCGTAAATGAATGGCTTTTCAATACACGGTTCTATATATTCAACAGCTGCTTAATAAGTACACATACGCAGGTGGTTCTGTATTTTACATAACTAGAAACGATCTAATTTCACATGAAAAAATAAGTGAAACATGTAAAAAAAAAGAGTAACATTCGTCCATTTAACCTCGTTTCCAAGAAAATCGAGTTTGAGTGCTGTTGACAGCAAAACATAGGTCTACTTGACACATTTTCAAACCGGATTTTTTCGAAAACGACGTTTCCAAGGCGAAACTCTTGTTTAACATTGCTGATTTAGTTTTATTTTTTGTAGAATAATTTCCTATTAATACTAAACGTACCGGCACTTTGTGTACACCTATTCCTACTGTAACCAGTTAAATAATTAGTTCTAAAAGAAAGTTAAACAAGTTAGAGATCAATCCTTCTCGGTAGAAACAGGAACAAGAGGAAATACGAAAACAGGAAAACTAATTAATCGGACAATGTAAGAACTGATATAAAATTAAATGAGCGAAGGACGTAGAATTTCAAATGAAATTTTAGAACAGGTTGTTCGACCGTCGCGGTACGTTTTGTGTTAATTACATCACATGAACTTCGTCATGAGAAATACAATAAATTAAATTTGACGTTCTATTTCAGCCTTAACGTTACAAATTGCAGAAAGGAAATTTTGTTTTTCGTAAAAATTCTTTCCTCCCATTTTTGGTTTCAAAATAAATTTCCTCTTATAATAAATGGTCCCTTTAATTTTTAAGAATCAATCTTTATAATGTATATCATTTCCGGTACACAGTGAGAAAAGAACGAAAAAAGCTTTCTGTATTTATAAAACTCGATTAACATAAAAATGCTTACACGTGAAATAGACAATACGTGATATCAGTAAATCGTATTTCTTTTAACATTTGCGGTACGCTAAGTCCAATGCTCGTAAATTATTACGATGCACCATATTCTAAATGAGAAACTTTGAGTAAGACAGATATTTGACTTTTACCGTAGCCAATTTATAATAATGTTCAAGAATATCAAATTAACCCAATTATCTTATTTATGACTATGAGATTCTCTATATGAGAAACTGAAATTTTGGGAACAGTTCAAACTTTCCTGACATTCCGCCAATCACAAACGTTTTAAGTTTGACTTCATTAGTAAATATAATATCTCCTCTGTTATCACAACGTCTTATCAGCGCACTATTACATCATTTATTAAGCGACACGTAAAATCCAAAGTTACACAAGCAGATGTAGTATTTATATACAAAGATTATTTAATAATTTTTTTGAGTAAATCAAGATTCTATTAATTTGGGCTAAATGATTTTTATGAAATATTGAACTGTGACTGAAATGAATCATTGGAAGTTCATTTTTAACGAATCATGAAAAAAATGAAAATGATTCTTATAAAACATTATTAATCCTATCCAAAGTGAAGAAAAGAAAACGGTCACGTGTAAAGAAACATGTCCAAATAACAGAGGAGAGAAAAGAACAGCAACTTTCAAATTTATTAAAATGCATTGAAATTTTGAAGGAAATTGTCTCGTATTCCTCGCATGAAAGAGGAAACGTATCCTTCGACTACACTGTACGTGACAAACTGTCGTAAAAAGCGACGTTCCTCGATCGGATCTCGAAGGACTCTTGCTGAGTTTATCGATCAGCCATTTGAAAGGCAGAAACGTAGAAATCTGTCTTCTTACCTGATCGACGGTTCTCTGAAGGATCTGACATTTGTCAGTCTTGCCAGAGCTCATGTCCGTGGCGCAAAGCAGCTCGGCAAGATCATCGATAAACAGGTTCTCCTGGGTCCGTCGTCGCTTTTCGTTAAGGCACTTGTTACTGTAAACAATCGAAGCGGAAGATCATTGGTTATCCGTTAGTTTCAAACAGGAAATTCTTCATAAGAAATTCTTAGCTTAAATCGAAACAACTGTTTCTCTACATTTAACGCCAGAATCACTTTTCGGATAAGGGGTCGATTTAAATATTCATTTAATACTGGAACTAAGGTTTGCAAATTCTTCTAACGGTTGCATTAATGAATAAGTCACGAATTTCAGGGATTTATAAAATATATGAACCCCGTTGTGTTAATAAATTTCATACATTTTTTATTTGTTACACGTATGTAGGAGGTGATGACCTTATTTTATAAAACTGACCTACTGTCAAAAGATATTCATAGATTATAATATCGGCATTTAAAACTCAAGATTACATTAATATTGAACATTATTTTATTCATTTTTGGAAACATTCATCTTTTTTTCTGCAATGACATCGAAGCTAAGACTGATTACAATATCGCAGACCAGCCTGTATACTTTCATTAATATCCTGATAGATCATGCAGATTCCATTTTCCTCAGTTTTTAGATATTATCTTTAATACCGTTTATATTGTTAGTTTATATAAGTGTTTTTGTACTCTTACTTCTTATGATATGACGTATTGTTTGATAAAAATACTTCTTACTTTGATTTTTAGTTTGATAAAAGATATTTTACCGATTTGCTTTGAGAAGAGTTCTGCAATGATAATAACAGGAATGAAATGTGACCTTTTGTCAAATAAGTTTTTAATATTTTTTCCACTATTTTAAGTACCCTATTCGTTCATTGTTACGTACAAAATAGCAGTCCAAACATTTTGCAAAACGTTTTGAAACTTCATTTAGATTCCACAGGAAATATTGTCTAATAACTTTTATCCCGACAATCTTAAAATAATTATGGTATCTATAGATAAAATAAATATTTGATATAATTTCTTAAGAACAGATAGAGATGATTCAAATTTCTGGTTATTCGGTATATACGATTCATGATATTACATTTTATTTATTTAAGCAAAAACCGAGGAACCTAAACTTTGTTAAAGTATTTACGCATTTCACATCTTTCTGACTATTTACATAATAATGAATATTGCATAATTATAAATTGTAGTTAAATAAATTTAACACGTCTTAAATAGTATTTCCATATATCTACAAATATTTCAGATATTTACATGATCTTCTTTATATGATGCATTCTGTATATTTGTAACAGAAAAAATTTTACCTGTTCCTACAAAACACTGTTTGAATAAAAAATGGTCGAATAGTAAAACGCACGGATATTAGACTATTAGAATAGTGAATGCTTGAATATTTCATACGATTTAATTCATCGTTTTACGATTCATTTCTCAATTATGATCGATACACCTATTTCGTCATCAATAATTGATTGCAAACGGAGAAAAATTTTGGGCACATTCCATGCCCATTTGCTGTAAAATATAATAATTGATAACGGATAAATAATATTTAATTTGAATTCAAAAGAATTGAGTATTATTTATGCTTATCAAATTCTGTTTAAAATCTTCACCACGAGTATGACACGTTGTTGTAAGGCAAGGGGTTAAACAGACACAAAATAAACATAATATAGAAAGAAGAAAATAATTATAAACATATAAAAAAATTGTATATATAAGTGAGCACTAAATTTCTATACCAAAACTGAAACAAACTATACAAACAGGAAGTTAGTATAACAGCAAACATCATTTCTGTTGTATTAAGCTTTTCGACAATAAGAGAAAATGATCGGAAACCTTTCATTGTCTGCATACTTTATCCATTAATCTTTGCAGAATATGCAATACTGATACACGAATGAAGTCAAATAATACTAAAGTGTAAAGATGGTTTTTAAATTTTCAATATATGTTTACATAATATATATTTTGTATGAAACAAATTTTATTCCACACTTTGACGTACTTTCTTAAATAAAATCGCCAGCTTTTGATTTTACATCGTCAACCCGAAGACACCCATATAACTTCAAAATGTTTTCGAGATTCGAGCAAGTTTTCTGATTTCAAAAACACGTAGAAATCCACCGACAGAAAAAATATTCTTTCAGAGATGCGACGTGAGAAGAACGACGGCAATAAAAGGTTCAGAGCGTGGAGCGTTCGGCTAGCGAATTTTATAGAAAGAAAATTGTTAGATGCTGAATCAACGCCAGTCCCGTTGAAACGCTCAGTTGACCTTGCCTGACGTCACGTCGCCGAACAGTGACTCTCACTTTGTTAAGGCTGGCCATATTTTCATGCGATAAAGTTGCTTCACCGGTTGCTGCTCGTTACTAGAACTGCCTGGGTACTTGAAATACGCGTCGAGTAGCTTGGAACCGAGTAGCTTCTGAATTCTCGACCGGAAAAACACGATTTGTTATAATCGAGATCTCCATTTCATCCCTTTCGGAACGATTTTGAAGAATTAACGAGAACAGATTGAATAATCCAACTACTCAAATGTTTCTAGTAGGCGATATGCATAATCACATGGACACCGTTGAACCGTACCGTATCTTAAATAAAAAGATTAGTAATAATGTTTTCAGAATGTTCGCCGAATATAACGACCGACGCATTTATGGTTTGAAATAATCGTAAATCATTCTTTTATTCGTTTATAGAGCAAAGTTTTCGAAACAGAAATCGTTTTTCTTAGCTCTGGTAAGCATTGTTAGTTAAGATTAAGAAAGATTGATCGACCACTTTCCAAAATTTGCTTTACGTTTTTACTAGGTTTTCTTTATGCATGCTTTGAATCGCGTTAATGCCGAATCTCTTTAATAACAATAATTGTCTCATCTCTTCTATTACCAAGAAATGAAATTTTTCACTTCAGTAATAAAACCTGAACATTCTTTTGTTTGATAAAATCTTCCAACAAAGTTTGGAAAATTGCTACCGAGTTGTAATTTCGACTGGATCTGTGAATATTATTATACCAGGTGTAATTATTAGAAAGCATGAAATTCATTTTCCGGAGGGCTATTACTTGCAAAATAAATTACTAATTTTTCTATACCTTATTCTCTGCATAATTTAAATATGTATACAAGATTATTTACTAAGTAACATGTCCTATTTCAACGTACAATCGAAAAGGAGACTTCTATAAAGAATATAAAGGAAAGAATAATCCAAACGTGCAGGATAACATTAATTTTAATTATGTTACTGCTTGTAGACATTGTTCTTATTATTATACGGTATTATTTGTCTTATGTAAAATAATATCATGTACATACATTAACCAGTCAACTACCTCTGATACGTATACACGTCATCTTAAAGCTTGAAATGATATTAATTCTTTCAACGATGAATTATTTATTCTTTTACATGAACATGCAATTCTTCTTTGTCTTACTTTGGTTTTTCATTAAAATATACTCTAGGTGCATTCGTCCTGCGTTTGGCGAGTACACGCTTCATTTTTTGATTTTACTGCGTGCAAAGCGAGAGATTTTTCAAAATAAATTCCACGATTAGCAAGTTAAAACAGCAGTGACTAATGAAACGTCATGAACATACTACAAAAGCAGATATAAAAATAAATAAAGATTTCTGTATTCTACTATCATTTGCGAATCAACCTTTAATATAATTATTAGCAAATTCCAGTAAACTATTAATGACATTTTCCATTGTTACTACACAAAGAATTGGTTGCACAATGAATTTTGTCTTATAAGACATCCAGATGTGGAATTCGATTTTTAAGTAATCCCATGTACATTTAGTAGTACATAACAAGAAATGGAAAATCCACGTACAGTTCGTCAGAATGGACCTTCGTTTTTGAGAAAAGTCAGTAGAAAATAATGTAAAACGGTCCCTGAGTACGAGTTCCCGAGTCTCGTGCTCCCTTTTTAGTCTTCACCTGAATCTTTTCCTTTTATTTTACAATATAATTGTGTATATGTTTTGACATCGCTAAACACTTTTTATTTGATCGTCTTAATATTATTCAAATCAACATACGTTGCTGCCACGCATCCTTCTGAATAGGTGACTGTTATGATGAAATTATATGCAGCACATAAACTTCAAACTTATTCTTCTGAAAAACTTGAATTTTTCATTTCCATGTATAGAATCACACAAAAACCGACTTCTACATCCAGATGTTCTCCCTGCTGGTCTTGCATATCCAACTCTTAAAAATACACAGTATACTCTATTACTGTAGTTAATAAATTAAATTTGGAATAAAATGTTGTTAAATATTTGTGAAAATACTGATAACAGATGTGAATAAATAACTTGAGTTATAAAGAATTTTCAGTTTTTCTTTCAAAATATGGAGTAATAATATAGTAGGGAAACGAAAACTTGATCTGGATACTTTGTTGGTCTATCGTAGAATTTTTTATCGTGAAAAAACGTTCATCTTTACACCATAAATTTCACTTTTCAGTAATTTTGTTTCTAAAATGATAGATAACAATTGCCAACAAATAAGTTATTCATACTTGTATAGCTACAGTTGATTTGAAAAGTGTATAACACGTATAAAAACAAACCAGTTAATATTTATTTAATTAACTTATTTATTTATTTTACCATCGTATTGAAATGATTCACAATTAACCATCGACTTCCTGTAAGGAGTCTCATGAATATTAATATTTTTACATTAAAGCTTTTACTTTATTGTATTTAATATTATGGTGACACCTTTTCTACTCTGCCAATAGAGAGCTACCGACACCTAAGAGCCATTCTCGCTCCTGCTCAGACCTTTACCTATTTGTATACCGTCCGTAAACATTCTAATCTGTTCAAACCTCTTCCCCCTTTCCGTAACATTACAAGCCGCTTCAATATGTTTAATGTCACATAGTTAATGCTATTAATGTAGAAGATCTGTAATTTAATAGCAAATTATCGTACAACATGAAGTTTCTCATGATTCACTTTACTAATCACTAAGTATTCAATGTAGGCAGTACAGTTATTAATATTACCTACTTTTTGTTTCTTA